GAAACCTCAACTCGTCTCCACTTTATCAGTGGAACATTCCAACTTAGAAAATGATCACCTAGACACCTACATTATGAAATTTCTAGTTAGATGACTGTTGAAAAGCCACTGTGACTGAGTTTTGTATTTGATCAAAACAGGTATATAGGGAACTCGAAACAAATGACTCAAATCTTGTACAAACTGCATGGGCATTGATGGGATTGATTCACTCTGGCCAGGTGAATTCCTTGTTACTAGTAGTAAAATGCTAAATTTATTCACCATCATAGTAAAAAAATTCTTGTTCAAGAGTTATTTACCAACTTCCTCATTTGGACAGGTTGATAGAGATCCAAGGCCCCTCCACCGCGCAGCAAAGCTGTTGATTAATTCTCAGATGGAAGATGGTGACTTCCCACAGCAGGTAATCACTCTGTAAATTACAAGCTAAACAAAGGATTGAAATGGACGGGATTTAAACAAAACGGATAGAAGATTCATATAGTCGATACAAACTAGTTTAAGATCGAGTTGTGTTTGATTGATATTGATTGTTAAAGGGAAAAAGCTCTTTCAAACTACCAAAAACTGAATGTAAACAAAATAGACATTACTCTCCTCGTTTCATTTTATGTGACACACTTTAACTGGACACGAGATTACGAAAGTAAAAAATACTTTTAAAACTTATTGTCTAAAAACAAGCTACAAATATTTGTGTTTCTTTAAATCATCTCATTAATAACAAAAAAAAAATAGAAAATTTAAGCTAAATTGTTTCTAACTATGCTTTCTGGAACAGACTGAAAAGGAAAATACATCACATAAATTAGGAAGGATGGAATATGAAGTCAGTTTTATCATGGTCTAGTGTGATGTGTGAATTAGGCATACATCACAAAACTCTATTATAGACAAAACCATGCCCCACTGGCTCTCAAGAATTTCTTGGTTATAAAAAAAATAGTCTTATTATCAAAAGATTTGATATTATCTGACCTTTTTTTAACACATATATGTGCAGGAAATTACTGGAGTTTTTATGAAGAATTGCATGTTGCATTATGCAGCATACAGAAATATATATCCATTATGGGGTTTGGCAGAATATCGCAAAAATGTCCTATTACCATTAGAAAACAACTAAATATTATACAATTTTTCTATATAAAATGCAATTTGGTCCTTTTTTTGTGTGTTAATGTGAGTGATGTAACAAAAGTAAAAAATCATAGCCTAAGTTGTTTTTACTATTTTGTATACCTAATTTGTGAATAAAGAAAGTTATGTATAAAAAAAAATTGGTATTGTTTCATTCCCCCTCCCTCTTTTACTTCAAATTTTATCGTCAAAGGGTATGGTGGAATGGTAAAGGTTCAATGGGAGATATTCAAGATTTTATCTTTTTGCATATCTATCGACTTTTTAGTTTTTGCGAATTAATTACCTTAGAATGATGCTCTCTTATTACAAAACAAACTCTACCTCGAGAAAACAAGAATATCTAATCGTTGGAAAATAGTAGTACACGACACATATTTTCACAATAGTCTTGTCCACATACAAATTAATGTTCTACAATAGAAAATCATCTTTAAGAACATGCTTTATTGAGATTTCAAATATAGTAATCTAAACATAACATATTTCCTATGTAAACGAATCATCAAAAGACGTATATTTTAATTAATTCAAGATTAAATGTACTTATATAAAAACATAATAATGAATAAAATACGATTATATTATTTGATTTGATGAAATTATAAATGTACCTTTTCTTTATTTTTGGTTTCCCAAGGATGTTTTGGGGTCGACTAATCTAAATTTATGAGGTCAAGTAAAGCTCTTCTTACCAAAAGTCATTATATATTCAGTACTCGAACCCAAGACATGAAGAATAAAAAGAGTATTTACTACTTCACCCCGTAAATATATGTACCTTAAATGGTGCCCTGGTTTTAGGATCATTTTCTTTACTTCTGAATTCATTTTGCACAATTTCATCGTCATATATGGAGATTTTCATCAATGGAGGAAAAAACTAATAATCAAAACCTTCCTCATCTCCCGTTCGACATTATAATCAAAATCATCAACAAATTACAAGTTAGATCTCTCTTCAGGTTCCATTGCATTTGCAAATCATGGCGTTCTGTGTTACTATTATCCACACGCGAAATATCTATTCATGTAAACAAAATCTCTAATAAAAACTACACATTGATGAGGAACACTGATGCCTCGTCTCTTCGCGAGGTGATCATTTGGAGATTTAAGATTCCATTTGAATTGAAATCCTTAGATTTCATGTTATTGAGCCCTGTTAAAGGAATACTCTGTATTTGTGGACCTTTTAAATCATTTGTTTCTTATGTGTATTTATGGAACCCTTTACCTAATGAATACAAAGCTTTACCTAAGCCAATTGTTCATTTGTCATATCTTGTTGTTAACTTTGGCTTTGGATTTGTTCCTAAGACTAATGATTACAAAGTAGTGAGGGTACTTCAACATGAGTGAAAACTCGATTTTCGGATTGAAATTTACTCTATGAATAGCGATTCTTGGAGAAGGGTTAGTGATTCGTGCTCGTGTAATGAAATCATGGAAAAAGAGAGGGATGTTAGTGCCAATCGTCATGCTCGTCCTCGTCCTCTTACTATTGATCTGGATAAGGAAGTGATTGTTGACGCGAATTGTTGGTATGCATATGACATTCCTTATTGTTTTCAGCAATGACAGAGCTAGAATTTTTTAAAAAAAAATAAATGAGTTAATAGTCAGAAGCACATTTGCACCATTTTTTTCAAGAGTTTCACACCCCAACTATCAGTTGTTCCCTTTCACTACCTGAACTATAATTGAGCTAGGAAAAGGGAACAACTAATAGTTGAGCAAAAAAATGACAGTTCAGGTATGTTTTTGACCATTATCTCAAAATAAAAGTGAACACATGAAAGCGTCAAGTGTCATTCAACATCTTATACTATACAAAATAACATGATTTTGACCTTGTATATATATAGTGTAATTTTCTGACAAACCTTGCTCTCTCTAGCTCCGCCACTGAATTTCAGGATTCAGTTTATCGACTTGAAAAACGAGTAGATGATCGAAATGCCTTCTTCTTTTTTTTATCTAACAGGAATCATTGTAAAACAATCACTTGGAGCAATGAAATGCATGTTATATGGTTAACATTTCCTGTAGATGATCTAGTTCTATGTGGAAGATCAGAATATGGATATTCTTCAGAAGGATTTGCTTTTACTGGGAGACTTTTTCCACCCAACTAACGTCACGGCGATCTTGGCTAATAGGCGGGAATCCTTTTGAAAATTGTCGGTATTTTGGATTTAAGTTTTATACACTGACTGCATGAAGAAACTTTTACATTTTCGGTTTATAGAACTTAAGTTCTTTGCAATTTAGCTTTTGTTCCCCAAATGTTTCTGGAGCTGTGTTGTCAAAGGCTCATTAAGCATAACGTTTGTCTGAACATTCCATGATTGTTATAGTGAGGTGTTGACGTGTTGTTATATATATATTGACGTTTGACGTTTAAATCTCATTTAGTTGTTATAAACATACGCACGCAAAAAATTTAGTTTAATGATTTTGTGGACCTTGAAAAATCTGTATAATCTACATTTTCACTTTTATAAGTTACATTCAATTCTTGTAGTTGACCTAAAGTATTTGTTTGAGACTGAGGCATAGTTATTTTTGTCGTTGTTCTTGTTCTAGTAACTGGCGGTAGATTGCTTAAGCATGTTCATAAGTTTTGTGTCATGAGAAATGTGTGTTTGTTAAGAACTTTCCTTGATGGTGATATAAACAACGACTACAAATCAATCTCAAACAAGTTGGGGTTGGAACTCTAAGGGTTCACAATACCTCGATGAAAGTTTATGTACCTTTCGTGAAGTCTGTTGATAAACTTGCAACTTGATCGCGATAGTTGTTAATAAGATCGCGATCTAGCAACAGTTGCTCCACGAACTCTTGATTCTTATGACATATATTTGTATTATTACTTCATATTCGAGAAATAATATTTAGTTCTAAAAATAAGCTAATTATAACATATATTTTCTATATAAATGCGAATAAGAAATAATTTTTAATTAATCTAAGATTAAATTTTGTTTAGATAAAAATTACGAGGACCATCAAGATGAAATTATCGATTTGATTAAAATAGAGTGAATAAGTAAAATAACCTCCTAAACTATCATCATTTTTCAATAACTGAACTATCGAGTGTTCGCATAACGCTCGCAAAATTCCTCCAAAATAGTTCCAAGTACATGCGGAATAAAGTTTGAGTAAACATGTCGAAATTCCTATAAATTATCCTTTATTTGCAAGTTTCATATCCAAACTATTGGGAGAACCCTGAATTCATTGTGTCATATAGACTCATTTTTTAAGAGTTTTTTTTTTCCATCTAGCTCACACTCGTCTCTCAACAAGTTATACTAAATATTTTGTCACATATTTAACATGTTTTTTTGGCATAATAAATAAATATACCTTTAATTTAGTTTCAGCTGTCATCTATTTCCTTCAACGTTGGATGTGTACAAAAAGACACTTAAACTTGCAGAAAACTAAACAATTAGACACATGTGTTCTATGCGACATAATACAGTTAACAGGTCACGTAGAACACAAAATTGTCATATAGAACATCATGTAGGACGAAATATCTATTTATTCAGTTTTATACAAGTTTAAGCGCATATTTGTACAAATCCAAAGTTAAATGTCACAGTTGTCAATGAAAGCCAAGTTAACCCGTAACCGTCCTATGTTACATATTTCTAATAGTGAGTTATAATCTTGAGTAACAGAAATACCCAATAGTTTAGGTATTAAACACGCAAAATGCTGATAGTTTAAAAGAGTTAAACTATTCACTCAAATGCTTTTAAAATCACAAAAATTTGGTCATGGAAAATTATTTACTGAACTTTTTTTTTCTTATGGTTCCTGCTATATTATCATCAACAATGGAGAAAAAAACTAAAATTCCACCATTGATGAATGCTGTGAAAGACGAAAAAATCACAGAAATTACTCCTTCCTCATCGTCGTCGTCGCATCAAAGGGAAACAAACCTCATTGATCTGACAATAGACATCCAAATCAATATCCTCACCCGATTATCAATGAAATCCCTCTTTCAATTCCGATCCGTCTGCAAATCGTGGCGTACTCTGTTATTAACACGTGAAATCGCCGTTCATTTGGATCAAGTTTCCGATAAGATATACACACTGACGACAAATGCTGACGAATTGTGGCTTCGCGGGATTCGTAGATTTAAAATTCCGATCGAATTGCAATCCCTAGAATTCATGCTATTGGAGCCTGTTAATGGAATTATCTGTATTATTGGGCCTGTATCTTCTCATGTTACTTTTGCTTACTTATGGAATCCTTTAACGAATGAATTCAAACATTTGCCTAAACCAAATGTTCAAATGGGATATGTTGCTGTTGGTTTCGGGTTCGGATTTGCTCCAAAAAGCAATGATTACAAAGTAGTGAGGGTAGTTCAACATGAGAGGAAATTCGATTCGCATGCTGAGGTTTACTCGTTGAATCGAGGTTCATGGAGGAGAGTTAAAGATGATTCGTGTTCGAGTAGTAGTGCCTGGATGAATAGAATTCTCCAAGGTGTTGTAACTGTTGATCTGGAGAATGAAGTGACTACTGAGGAGGAACGTATGAGCTTCGATCATAAAAATCACCAGGCAGATCATAGGTACGTCTGAGGTGGATTCAAGATTTAAATTCTACGAGTTCAATATTCTTAGCATTGAATACATTATATTTTTAATATTATGTCTATTATTCATTGCAGCTTTAGTAAATTGTTACATATAAGTTTATGTTTTGCATCGAACGTTATGGGGTCAATTGAACACCGTACCCATAATGGTACATCCTCCCCTGTATGAATCCTCTTTGTCGGAAATTACACTCCATATACAAGTTTAATGATAAAACACACACTTAAACTATCACCTTTTCGCTAGTTTCATACCTCAATTATCACTCCCTTTGTAATAAAACACACCTCGATGTTGAGTTGGACTACACACGCCTGTTGTCAGTTGGAAACAAATATTTGATCAACTCAGCATCGAAGTATGTTTTAATACCAAAGGGAATGATAGTTTAGGTAAGAAAAGAAAACAATGGATAGCTGAGATATGAAACTCGCAAAAAAAGTGAGAGTTTAGGTGTGTTTTTAACTATTACTGTAACTCTTATTTTTTGTGTACATGTAGTAGATATTGAATCCCCTTCTCTTCTTTGTGTGTTTTGCTTTGTTATATTTTGAATCTCCTTAATGACCACTCTGGTTGCTCCGTGGTTTATATGGCATTCTTTATGGCTTCTGGGATTCAGTTTATTTGACTTGAAAAACGACTAAATGACCGTTATCCTTTATTTTATCTAACAGAAGGAAGCATTGTAGAACAAACACTTGGAGAGATAACAGAGATGCTATATTGTTGACTCTTCCTGTAGACGAACTGGTTTTATCCGAGAGACCACGTAGCAAGAAATATAGCTACAGATCATCAATAAAATTCGATTTTTCTGGGAGCCTTGTTTCACTCAGCAGAAATCATGACAATCTTGGCAAATAGGTTGGAATCCTTTTGAATCTTCTTGGTACTTTGGATTTAAGTTATATGCACTGACTATGTGAAAATCTTTTACACTGTCAATTCATAGTACTTATATACTCTTTGCGTTTTGCTTTTGTTCCCAAATCTGTCTGGTGCATGGTGAAATCGTGGCATATTAGGCCATTGAAGAGCAAAATTTTGATACTGAGTAAGTAGCTTTTAGTTGCGTTTGTTCTGTTTTGCAGATGTAGCTAATGATCAAGAACAATAATGAGTGGCGCGGCGCCAATAAGTATCATCGGGTTTCCTTTTGTAGTCTCAACTATTATTCTATTAAGTGTCAATTGTGGCTTTTTAGATAATAACAGAGAAGCTTTTAGCACTTCTTGATGATCTTTTGATGATTGTACATACTTTAGTTAGTTAAATGGAGATTCGAAATACAAATCTATGTGATCGACATTTTCACTTTGATAATTTTCATGTTTGTACTCGTAGCTGACACCAACTTGTTTGGGATTGATGCGTTGTTGTTGTTGTTCTTGCTTAAAGCCTGTTCTTAAGTCTTGTATATTGTATTTACATCTGGAGAAGTGTGTGTTTGTTAAGAACTTCATAAGACTATTGGAGATAATATAATTGAGTCCCAAGACTTTGATGGAACGTGGTACTTCATTGACGATGATATATATAATGGCTACTATAGCTCAATCCCAAACAAGTTGGGTCGGGTATTAGAACTCTTAAGGCACAACATACAAAAAAAATTCCATTAAACCCCATTGACTCATGTCTCATACCTTACAATGGATCATAACATTCAAATAGAAAAATAGGCCTCACCAGAAACAACAATTTAAAAGCCTGTTTGGATAATTATATCCATTACATTAATATGTTTCAAACTAGAAAGAAACGAGGCAATCAATGGGGAGGTAGAAATCTGGTTACATGTTTGGTCGAATTCAGTAATTTTTGTTTAAATAATGTATTTGTTTTATAAATCGTTATATATACATTAAACTTAGAATTCAATTATTATCATTTAAAGCATCCAAACATGTAATCTAGTGATCAACGAAGTGAGTTGAACACTACGACTTCTCATGTTCTAGTCTCCTCGGACAAAGCTACCTTATATCTGTTGTTACTGCTCGGTGCATGGTATTTAATTTAGGTGAGCGCAAGTTGGACCGAACAAAAAAAAGGTATTATCACTTAAAATCGTAAGTTTAATCTAAGATGCGCGCAAGCTATCCTAGACAAAAAAAATTATTATCACTTAAAGGTATACTTTTAATTTTGATGCGCACAAATTGACTTGGACAAGAAAAAAGTTATTACCACTTAAAGTCGTAGTTTATAAGATTCAAATCCAATAAAAGAATTAAAATTTTGATTCCGTCTCTACCACAGACAGTGGTGTTTCTATAAGGAGGAGGAGAAAAGTGGGTGTGGGGTAGGGATTATTTTGTGAGGTGTCTTTTTCATATTTTCTTCTTTGCTGACATGTTTTTATTTTATTGGTCTGATTTGTCACATATGAAGCAAATGATGTCACACTAGTCACAAGGTAATAACCAAAATTGAGGGGTCGAAATGAAAATTGGAGTAAACTTTATGGGTCGTTTATGCATTTGGCTAATAATGTATTTATTTTCGTTTTCCCCTTAACTTGAGTAATTCAGATTCGCATTACATAAGACTCATTAAATTAAAAAGCACTTACTATAACGTTTCATCATTTCAATCTAAATTTATTTTGAATCCAATGCACCATTCTTTTTTTCTTTTATTCGATCGTATCTTGGAATAATCTTTCGATTATTTAAAAAAAATAAGTTTTCCAATTAATTTATATATTTTTAATTAAATAAATAAAATAAAATGCACGTCCAAATAAAGATTTCAAAAAAGCCCCATTACTTACTAAAATTCAAAACTCGGCCCAAAAGTTTCACCATATAGGTCGAAAAGCCCTTTCACTTTTGTGCCCTCAAGATTTCTTGATTTCAGACCAAAAGGAGAAACAGAGAAGAAAACAGAGAGACGCCAAAAATGGGATGGATCGGAGAGCAAATCGATTCGATAAAGTCAATTCAGTTCAGACAACACGTAACTCAAGCAATCAGTCTTGGTTCGTGTTCATCTTTTGTCCTTTTGTTTCAATTCAATTCATTGAGCTTGTGTATATATATGGATTGTTTGATTATTATTTTTTTGATTCAGTTCTGTGTGTTTTTGGACTTATCAATTGATCAATCAATTGTGCTGCTGTATGTATTGTGACCCATTTGGGTTGACCCGTTTTGATGGATTCAGTATTCAGAATGAATTGACTGGCTTTTTGCTGGATGTTAAGTGATAGATTCTGGAAAACCTTCATTTTTTTCATGGATTTGGGGGTTTTGATGATTTATTCGGGTTTTGGACCTATCAATTGATGGACCCATTTGGGTTGACCCGTTTTGATGGATTCAGTATTTAGAATGAGTTTACTGTTTTTTGCTGGCTGTTAACTTCTGGAAAGCCTTCATTTTCCCAGGATTTGGATTTTTTTTTTTGAAGAATTTATTGTGATTTCAGACTAGGAGGCTGAGGTTTTTTCAAAAAAAAAATTCTCTTTAGGTGTTTGGTTGAGTTTAAACTAGGTTGTTTTTTGTGAGGATAAGTATCTTTTTTTGTCTTGATTGTTTCATGGTAAAAAGGCACAGCCTGGTGTGTTGCATTTATGCGGGGTTCGGGGAAGGGTCGCACCCCTAAAGGGTGTGTTGTAGGCAGCTTACCTAGATGCAAACATCAATGGCGGATTGTTTCATGGTGTATTTTAAATTTATAGTGTTTTGCTTTAGTACCAAAGAAACCAAATTTATATGTTTATTTTTGATTGTTGAGCTAAGTTCAAGGCCAATGACCAAGTCCAGTTGGTTTTTAAGCTTGTCTAAGACATCCCATGGAAGTTTAGATGAAGTAGCTTCTTGTTAGGTGCATTTATGTGGTTGCTAACTGTGTCTTGAACTATTGCTTGTTTGGGTTGTGCAGTTTGCTCAGAACTAGGCTACAAGAAGTCCTATACCTTATTCTTCTTTATATAATTATTCAAATAATATGAAATGAAGTATCCCATTTTGTACTCATTGTCTTGAGGTGAATTATAGAGCATGAAATAGCTGTGTTTTCTTATTAACTTATTACCTATAGGTTCACATATTTTATGTTATAAAGCTGAAAGATTTATCCCCAAATCAAGATATCTGTTCTAGTCAGTGTTAGCAAAATGAGAGAACTGTTTTATGCATATTAGTCGTTTTTTTGGCATTAAAAAGCAAGAAATAACTTAATTGTGAACGACATGGTTGAATTATATCTCCATGTAAGATACTATGAAACTTAACATTGCCCATGAAAAAAAGTGATTAGCTTAGAAAATCATCTTCTCAAATAATTAAATGTGCAACAGTGCAAGTATGGAACTAATGCAGATGCGAGCTGAAGCGAACGTCTATTCTCTTCTCAATGATTTAGTGTCTAGCTTTGGCTTTGTTCTTGGATTATACGAGCTAGAAAATAGTTGGACTTCTAGTTTGGGATAGAGGGAATATCTAGTGTGCATTGATTTGAAGAATTGAACTTGAAATTCAGTTTACAAACTTTTCAAGAAGTGTTTCTTTAAGCTGCTTTTGCCAAATGAAAGTTGGCTACTTTGGGAAATAATTTCAGACTCAATTTTTCAATCTTTCAACTCAGAATTGACTTCCTAATCACTTTCAGGGATGATTGTTACATCAGCACTTATAATATGGAAAGCGTTGATGTGTGTAACTGGCAGCGAGTCACCTGTGGTGGTTGTGCTCTCCGGAAGTATGGAACCTGGCTTTAAAAGGGTGAGGTAAAGAAACTTGTTCACAAGAAAAAAAAAGGAGGAGTTGGGGATGGGAGAGGGCATCTAAACAAATGGATAACAGCAAGCTGTAGCTGGACTTGTTTCTACTTCTTTTACTCCGTGCTACTCTGTTTCTTTATCCTTTGCTAAAGATTCTTTACTAGAGGTTAAATACTAGAGGATATTAGGGTATGAAACTAAAGAAAGGGAGTCAAAAAAAGATTAAAAAAAGTTTTTGGTTTAACTATCTTGTATATCATCTAAATATGCATAATTTATGCTAGATTATCTTCTTGTATTTGGCTTATTGCTGAATAGACTTCAGGGTTTCTGGTTTCAGTAGCAACTTGTTATTATTTGAAATAAATAATGAGCCTTCCTATATCTAATGTTGTGCAAAGGATGCCTTTCATGTGTCAGTGACAGTATGATCCTGGTGTCTTTCTTACTATCGAGGAGAAACTCAACTGAGAACTCTCCTGAATTCCTTTTCTTTTCGTTCCACTAAAGTGAGAAGTAGAAATACTTCTTTAAGTGGAGTGTTAGTTGCTCTTTTGACTTTGTATTACTGAAAACATCGTCTACTTTCTTGTAGGGTGACATTCTTTTCTTGCATATGAGTAAGGATCCTATTCGTGCGGGAGAAATTGTTGTATTTAATGTTGATGTAAGTAGTGCTTACCAGCATCTTCTGTTTTACCTATTTTCTGCTCGAGTTACTTTGACTTTTGAGAAGATAAACATACACGATAAACAATATTTCTTTGTATTCTCAGCTTTGCCAATGCCACTTGGGAGTTATTTATGTTCCCATGGAAACAGCTTGGCACTTTTCACAATTTTATTTCGTCCACAGCAACAGGATTAGGCATATATTATTTTGCTAATAATCAATTTTGTTTTGGCCCGGGGGGTACAGAGCTCTAGAAGGAATAAAATTCATAGAATTGGTCTTGATGTACAGTATGCTGAATTGTGTAACCCAACTTGTATAAAGGTTTACTAGAGGTGGGTAAATATATATATTCATTTAGGTATGCATCACCTTTACATGTAGAATCTTTTCTCTTGAGTTAAGCACGTGAACATGTTTTTTTCTGGGGGTGAGACTTAAATGCAGGAGCTCAGTTTTACTATGATATCATGTTATATTGTGTGAACCTCCTCATCTAAAAGCCTAACTGACGAGTGACTGGAGACTTCTACTTATTTCATTTTAGATTTGCTAGCATGCACTATGAAATAAGTTAATGAAATCAATATTGAAATCTTTGTCGAGGAATGGGATGGATGGAAAATTAGGTATCTGATGCTAGGAAGAAATCATCAAATAGGATGCGAAAGTCTATAGACCTAAATCAATAGATAATAAAAAAAAATGGCAACCATCATTTGAGAACATTATAGAATCCTAAGTGTGATATAAGCTCTTGAAACAAATGGCCTCAATCTCCCCCCACCCCCAACCAAAAAAAAGGACTTGGTTTCTAATAGTCCAAGATTGACGTAAGGAAATAAAATGTTTCATTGAATAGACCCCATTCAGTTTTGCTCATAAATACTAGTAGTATCTATTTTATTGATTGGACTTCAAACTGTCAAAATCATCTAGCTGAAATTTAACTGTCATTTATATTGACTTCGAAATTTACTAATGCTGATGGCATTTTTTTTGTTGCACAGGGTCGTGAAATTCCAATTGTTCATCGAGTAATAAAGGTATGTTGGGAAGTTTTCTCTCTATACCAAATTTGCTTTCATTTGGTTGTGCTTGATTATAATAACTTGGTTGCCTGCATCTAATGTTTCTGTGCACTGGTAGTAAAACAAGGAATGTGCAATTAATTATCAATATTTGTCAAGGAAAAGAAGGATTTAAGGGACTGATAAATAAAAGCACATTCTGAAGTGACTAAGGTGATAGAATGACCCTCTTTCCTTAACTAGATTTAGGGTATGCAACCAATCAGAGTAGGCTCGGTTTGGAGCCTGACAGATGATTTGCCATTTCTGTCTTCCTAAAAAAGTAAATTGGAGTCATATACCGCTGATGAGTCTAACCGAGAATAGACAATACATTTCACAAATATTATCAGCAACTTCCTGTATCATTTTCTGCACGTGATAATTCAATTTGTAATACAACTTTGTTATTTACTTCCAAACCCAACCCAAGTACCAACCCTCTGAACGAAAAGGGAACAAGAATTAAAATATTGTTGAATAATGATATGATAAGAAGGCACGTGTTTCCTGTACTTAACTAATTTGGTTGCATCCTACATTTGCTGTCTGCCCACTTTTTCTTCCTCTTGGGTAAACTAAACCAGTTTACCACCATTATTTCTTTATGTTTCCCCTTGTAGGTTCACGAGCGCAAAGACACTGGAGAAGTTAACGTCCTTACAAAAGGTAATTTTATGATGCATATTAGGTAGAAGTCAAGGATGTGTTGTATAGATCCCTTCCTCTCTCTCTCTCTCTCTCTGCATTGAGAATCGGCTTTTCATAAGTATATTACAATTCATAAGGTGCACATCAATCATTTCATAATTTTCCATCTAATGAAAAAGTTTACTTCAGACAATAATCTCTCTGCTCTGTTTGTTTGTGCTTATTAACTGAAAAAGCCTTCTGTTACTTGCTTGTCCCCTAAATATTGTTAAGCGAGGTTTTATGGTTCTTAGTCCTCAATGATGACTATTAATTTTCTTTCTTGTTTATGATTCATATCTTTAGGAGACAGCAACTTAGAAGATGACAGACTTCTATATGCTCAAGGTCAACTCTGGCTGCAACGTCATCACATCATGGGGAGAGCTGTTGGGTGAGTTGACAGTTAGATCTGCTCTTTAGATCTTTGGTTTCTCATTTCTTGAGGTCCTCTGCTTAAGAGACCTATCAGCAGTTGTTAGGTTGTGAGGTCTTCCAGTGGTGTTGCCTTGGTTAGCGGACTTGGCGCTCATTCCCTTCTATGATTTATCTTATTTGAATATGCACCACTCTCTTTCGGTTCTACTCTATGCAATATTGCAAACTCCAACAACTAATCCATTATAAATTTGCAGAATTCATATTGTTAATCATTTTCCGTTGGAAAATTCTCCACGTAAAGTAAACTTTTCACAGAAGTTATCATTTTTTATGCCACTACTTTCCATGCTAGGGGAGTTCCATGAACCTGTTTACAGTTGAGAAAGAATTGAAGTAGTCACTCCTCTATCTCTCTTTTTGTTTTCGTTTTTCATTCTTTTTGTAGTACTACTTTTATTGTCAGTACTTCTCTTTCTTCAATATTTCCATCATTGTTTTCAAACCTGTTCTGGAAAACGTTTTGTCTTTGAGGCGAGTCTATCAGGAACAACCTCTCTACCTCACAAAGGTAGGGGTAAGGTCTATGTACGCCCCACCCTCCCTAGACCCCACTTGTGAGAATATACAGAATATGTTGTTGTATTCAGCACCCCTTTGTGTGTAACCTATTTGTTCCTTGTATGCTGAACTACTTGCTTGTTAATTTCAGGTTCTTGCCTTATGTTGGTTGGGTAACGATAATCATGACTGAAAAACCAATTATCAAGGTTTGTTGTGAATCAAACTTCTAATTCTGCTTTTACATTATGCAGTAAAGTGTTTTATAAGGTTAACTATCTAGGTGCAATGAAATTCTAATGTTAGACTCTTTTTTCCTTTCTTCTTATTGCAGTATATATTGATAGGTGCATTGGGATTGTTGGTCATCACATCAAAAGATTAGTGGACAATGGCTTCCTTCATATCACTGGCACAAATTTAGAGAGAAACTATGTATCTGCCATTTTCAAGAATCATAACTCATTTTTGGACTAATAGAATCCTCTTTCTAGACATGATCAGACCCCCCCCCCCCCCCCCCCCCCTTCTTTTTTTTTCTTTTTTCTTCGACGTGGCATGTGATGTGTGGATAACGTACAAGTTGGGGTTTTCAAACCCTGCTGCAAGCTTCTGCCCCGAGCAGAGCTTGTTACTTAAGTTGGGAGGAGGGTAGAGGGGACGGACTCATACTCTCTGGAATTTTGAACCTATGCACCAACCGGATAGAAAATTGAAATGAAAATGTAGTTCCTCTTCTGGGATTGTTAAATAATATAGAAGAATTTAAAAAATAAAATGACACACTTCATAACGTCTCTTAGGTTTTCATTTCAAAAATCATGTATATTGCACGTATCATTTGTTGTGACAAAAACTCATTAGAAATATTAACATGTATTATTGTTATACCATAGATGGCAAAGTCAAAATGGGATTTGTAATGGCAACTTTTTGTTTGTATAATTTGGTTAATATATTTTTTCAATCATAAATGTAAAAGAGCTACCAAAACTATTATCGACAAAAGATTAAAAGTAAAAATAAATGAACTAACCATCCCATGATTGTAAAATAAAAAACAAAAAAAAAGATGGAAAAATATATGATAAGGGGCTCTAAAGTTTTGGCTATGTACATTTTCAATCAGAATAGTTGTTTGCAGATCAAGTTTGAAAGGGATAGATAGACCTCCATGTGACCAACAAGCCAAAATAATGGGCGTGTGAACCCATGATCTCTCCGTAAACTAATATTTTATGCATAGATTTTCTAAAACTAGTATAATATTATTTGTTGACTATAAAAAGACTAAATGATGCACTTGATTCGCTTAATTCATTTTATTTTTAAAAAAAATTTAGTGGTGCACTCGTGTTCTAGAAATGCTAGATTTGCCTTTGGTTCGAGTTGTGGAAACAACCGCTTGCAGAAATGCAGGCTAAGGTTGTGGGTTGCACTATGTTCTAGAAATCCTAAATTCACCTCTGGTTTTAGCTGTGGAAACAGAGATCCTTCTGGTCCGGCTCTTACCCCGATTCGCACATAGTGGAGGAGCTTAGGGCACTGGATGGCCTTTTTTGTTTGTAGATCGAGTTTGTTGCTTTTAGTGTGCAACGTTCTTCTTAGAATTTTGAAGTTGCGTCTATTTTTGTATAGATAAGACTGCTATCTTCTTCAATGGATATATAAAATTCAACAAAAAAAAATATTTTGATTTTTTTGCTTGTTGAAGTTTCAAGTAGCTTTAATAGTTATTTTCTGTTTTCATAGGTCTAAGAACGGGCCACATTTGGAAATGAGGATTTGTGTTGATTATCACGCCTTAAATCGAGTGACAATTAAGAACAAAACGGTTGTATCTACTCTCAACCAATCACTAGACGAGAGTTTAAACACATACTTGTGCTGATCCAAAGTTAAATGTCACAGTTGCCAACGGAAGCCAAGTTAACCGTCCTATGTCTACGTATTTCTAATAGTGAGTTATAATCCTGAGTAACAGAAATATCCAATAGTTTAGGTATTAAACACGCAAAATGGTGATAGTTTAAAAGAGTTCAACTATCCACTCAAATGCTTCTAAAATCACAAAAAATTGGTCATGGAAAATTATTTACCAAACTTTTTTATTCTTATGGTTCCTGCTATATTATCATCAACAATGGCGAAAAAAACTAAAATTCCGCCATTGATGAATGCTGTGAAAGACGAAAAAAACACTGCAATCACTCCTTCCTCATCGTCGTCGTCGCATCAAAGGGAAACAAACCTCATTGATCTGACAATAGACGTTCAAATCAATATCCTCACCCGATTATCAATGAAATCCCTCTTTCAATTCCGATCCGTCTGCAAATCGTGGCGTACTCTGTTATTGACACGTGAAATCGCCGTTCATTTGGATCAAGTTTCCGATAAGATATACACACTGACGACAAATGCTGACGAATTGTGGCTTCGCGGGCTTCGAAGATTTAAAATTCCGATCGAATTGCAATCCCTAGAATTCATGCTATTGGAGCCTGTTAATGGAATTATCTGTATTATTGGGCCTGTATCTTCTCATGTTACTTTTGCTTACCTATGGAATCCTTTAACGAATGAATTCAAACATTTGCCTAAACCAAATGTTCAAATGGGATATGTTGCTGTTGGTTTCGGGTTCGGATTTGCTCCAAAAAGCAATGATTACAAAGTAGTGAGGGTAGTTCAACATGAGAGGAAATTCGATTCGCATGCTGAGGTTTACTCGTTGAATCGAGGTTCATGGAGGAGAGTTAAAGATGATTCGTGTTCGAGTAGTAGTGCCTGGATGAATAGAATTCTCCAAGGTGTTGTAACTGTTGATCTGGAGAATGAAGTGACTACTGAGGAGGAACGTATGAGCTTCGATCATAAAAATCACCAGGCAGATCATAGGTACGTCTGAGGTGGATTCAGGATTTAAATTCTACGAGTTTAATATTCTTAGCATTGAATACATTATATTTTTAATATTATGGGTTCGTTCATGTCTATTATTCATTGCAACTTTAGTAAATTGTTACATATAAGTTTATGTTTTGCATCGAACGTTATGGGGTCAATTGAACACCGTACCTATAATGGTACATCCTCCCCTGTATGAATCCTCTTAGACGGAAATTACACTCCATATACAAGTTTAATGATAAAACGCACACTTAAACTATCACCTTTTCGCTAGTTTCATACCTCAATTATCACTCCCTTTGTAATAAAACACACCTCGATGTTGAGTTGGACTACACACGCCTGTTGTCAGTTGGAAACAAATATTTGATCAACTCAGCATCGAAGTATGTTTTAATACCAAAGGGAATGATAGTTTAGGTAAGAAAAGAGAACAATGGATAGTTGAGGTATGAAACTCGCAAAAAAAGTGAGAGTTTAGGTGTGTTTTTAACTATTACTGTAACTCTTATTTTTTGTGTACATGTAGTAGATATTGAATCCCCTTCTCTTCTTTGTGTGTTTTGCTTTGTTATATTTTGAATCTCCTTAATGACCACTCTGGTTGCTCCGTGGTTTATATGGCATTCTTTATGGCTTCTGGGATTCAGTTTATTTGACTTGAAAAACGACTAAATGACCGTTATCCTTTATTTTATCTAACAGAAGGAAGCATTGTAGAACAAACACTTGGAGAGATAACAGAGATGCTATATTGTTGACTCTTCCTGTAGACGAACTGGTTTTATCCGAGAGACCACGTAGCAAGAAATATAGCTACAGATCATCAATAAAATTCGATTTTTCTGGGAGCCTTGTTTCACTCAGCAGAAATCATGACGATCTTGGCTAATAGGTTGGAATCCTTTTGAATCTTCTTGGTACTTTGGATTTAAGTTATATGCACTGACTACGTGAAAATCTTTTACACTGTCAATTCATAGTTACTTATATACTCTTTGCGTTTTGCTTTTGTTTCCAAATCTGTCTGGTGCATGGTGAAATCGCGGCATATTAGGCCTTTGAAGAGCAAAATTTTGATACTGAGTAAGTAGCTTTTAGTCGCGTTTGTTCTGTTTTGCAGATGTAGCTAATGATCAAGAACAATAATGAGTGGCGCGGCGCCAATAAGTATCATCGGGTTTCCTTTTGTAGTCTCAACTATTAAGTGTCAATTGAGGCTTTTTAGATAATAACAGAGAAGCTTTAAGCACTTCTTGATGATCTTTTGATGATTGTACATACTTTAGTTAGTTAAATGGAGATTCGAAATACAAATCTATGTGATCGACATTTTCACTTTGATAATTTTCATGTTTGTACTCGTAGCTGACACCAACTTGTTTGGGATTGATGCGTTGTTGTTGTTGTTCTTGTGTAAAGCCTGTTCTTAAGTCTTGTATGTTGTATTTACATCTTGAGAAGCAGTGGCGGCCCCATGATTTTTTCTCAGGGGGTTCAAAGTATAAAGAAGAAGTTCATGTGGTAATGAAAGTGCGCGGTGAGCGTAGTAGCCCCTCGGCATGCTCTTTGTACAAGAACCATAGATATTTCATTGGTTCATAAAAGTAAAGACTAAACTAATCAAAGATATCGAGGACAAAGATACATTCATAAGAATTTTAGTGGATCAACTGTATAACATAAGTTAATTCCTAAAACACGTGAAAATTAAATGATGAAAAAAGGGAGCGAGACGGGGAAGAAAGATATTTACCTTATCATGCTAAATTTAACTTACTTTATCATACCGTATTAAGCATTTCTTTCTACTTTTATCATGCTCCATCGAACATTCTCAAAATTTCTTGTGTTTTTTATACTTTTATTTTGTAATGATTTACTTTATTTTTCACTTTTAAATTTTTTAACTTAGTATCCATTCAATCACATATTACTATGAAAATCGTCAAGATTCTCTAAGAGTGTAAGAATAGAGTTACTAATATTATAATGCATATTCAGAAGATAAATAAATAGCATCGTCAATTTTTTTAGTTCATATAGTTCAATTTACTAGGTTAGTCATAATTTGTAAAAAAGTCAAATAACGAATAAATCAAATAAGTTTAGTTTTCATCTCTCTAAAATAGAATTAAAAATATAAAAGAAATTTCATGAATTCTATAAATTAATATTTTAAAAGGATGTTGACGATATTTAAGTTTCTTCATTCAATTACATCTAATTTACCTTTTTTTTTAAAATAAATTATATTTCTATCTCAGTTTCAAGTTAAATACAATTCATCATTTTAAAAAAGAGTTATTCAAGTTAGTATTTGAAAAAAGAGCTGCGTTGAGAAAAATATGAATAATAGATATAAAAAAAATAAAAAAAAAAAAGAATGTGTCTAATAAATTTAAACAAAAACAAATTAAAAAGAAGAAATGAAATAAAAGAAAAAAATAATGAAAAAGAAGAAGAAGGTCTAAGCCCAAAAGTTCCATTTTCCAAAGCATTAAAAAGAGGAAAAAAATGTTGTCCATGGGATTCAAACCCATGACTTAGGGGAGTTTCTTGAACCTCTTATCCACTGAGCCAAGCCTATACTTTGTTTTCAGGGGGTTATATATACACATAGAATCAAAATTTAACGTTATATATATAGTGTAATTTTTTAACGAGGGGGTTCGGGTCCCCCTAGGGTCCACCTAGATCCGCCCCTGTTGAGAAGTGTGTGTTTGTTAAGAACTTCATAAGACTATTGGAGATAATATAATTGAGTCCCATAACTTTGATAGAATGTGGTACTTCATTGACGATGATATATACAACAGCTACTATGGCTCAATTCCAAACAAGTTGGGGTCGGATAATGGAACACTTATGGAACAACATACAAAAAAAATTCCATTAAACCCCATCGACTCATGTCTCATACCTTACAATGGATCATATCATTCAAATCGAAAAATAGGTCTCAACACAAAACAACAATTTAAGAGCCTCTTTGGATAATTATATCATTACATTAATATGTTTCAAACTAAAAAGAAACGAGACAATCAATGGGGAGGTAGAAGTCTAGTTTCATGTTTGGTCGAATTCAGTAATTTTTGTTTAAATAATGTATATGTTTTATAAATCGTTATATATACATTAAACTTAGAATTCAATTATTATCATTTAAAGCATCCAAACATGTAATCTAGTGATCAACGAAGTGAGTTGAACACTACGACTTCTCAGGTTCTAGTCTCACAGGACAAGTTACCTTATATTTGTTGTTAGTGGGAGGTGCATGATATTAAGTTTAATTTAGATGAGTGCAAGTTGGCCTGAACAAAAAAATAGTATTATCACTTAAAGTCGTAAGTTTAATCTACATGCGCGCAAGACAATTTTTTTTTATAATCACTTAAAGGTATACTTTTAATATAGATGCACACAAATTGACTTAGACAAGAAAAAAGTTATTATCACTTAAAATCGTAATTTATAAGATTCAAAACTAATAAAAAAATTAAAATTATGATTCCGTCTCAACTACAGACAATGGTGTTTCTATTGAGGAGGAGGAGTAGAAAAGTGGGTGTGGGGTAGGGATTATTTTGTGAGGTGTCTTTTACATATTTTATTTTATTGGTCTGATTTGTCACATATGAAGCAAATGATGTCACACTAGTCACTGGGTAATTACCAAAATTGAGGGGTCGAAATGAAAATTGGAGTAAACTTTGTGGGTCGTTTATGCATTTGACTAATAATGTATTTATTTTCGTTTTACACTCAACTTGAGTAATTCAAATTCGCATTACATGAGACTCATTAAATTAAAAAGCACTTATCATAACGTTTCATCACTTCAACCTAAATTTATTTAGAATTCTGTACACCATTCTTTTTTTCCTTTTATTTGATCATATCTTGAACTAATCTTTCGATTATTTAAAAAAATAAAGTTTTCCAATTAATTTATATATTTTTAATTAAATAAATAAAATAAAATGCACGTCCAAATAAAGATTTCGAAAAAGCCCCATTACTTACTAAAATTCAAAACTCGGCCCAATGGTTTCACCATATAGGTCGAACAGCCCTTTCACTTTTGTGCCCTCAAGATTTCTTGATTTCAGACCAAAAGGAGAAACAGAGAGACGCAAAAATGGGATGGATCGGAGAGCAAATCGATTCGATAAAGTCAATTCAGTTCAGACAACTCGTAACTCAAGCAATCAGTCTTGGTTCGTGTTCATCTTTTATCTTTTTGTTTTAATTCAATTCATTGAGCTTGTGTATATATATGGATTGTTTGATTTTTTTTTTTTATTCAGTTCTGTATGTTTTTGGACTTATCAATTGATCAATCAATTGTGCTGCTGTATCTATTGTGACCTATTTGGGTTGACCCGTTTTGATGGATTCAGTAGACAGAATGAATTGACTGGCTTTTTGCTGGATGTTAAGTGATAGATTCTGGAAAACCTTCATTTTTTCATGGATTTGGGGTTTTTGATGATTTTTTCGGGTTTTGGACCTATCAATTGATGGACCCATTTGGGTTGACCCGTTTTGATGGATTCAGTATTCAGAATGAACTGACTGCTTTTTTGCTGACTGTTAACTTCTGGAAAGCCTTCATTTTCCCGGGATTTGGATTTTTTGATGAATTAATTGGGATTTTAGACTAGGGAAGCTGAGGTTTTTTCAAAAAAAATTTCTCTTTAGGTGTTTGGTTGAGTTTAAATTAGGTTGTTTTTTGTGAGGATAAGTATTTTTTTTTTGTCTTGATTGTTTCATGGTAAAAAGGCACAGCCTAGTGTGTTGCATTTACGCGGGGTTCGGGGAAGGGTCACACCCCTAAAGGGTGTGTTGTAGGCAGCTTACCTAGATGCAAACATCAAAGGCGGATTGTTTCATGGTGTATTTTAAATTTATAGTGTTTGCTTTTAGTACCAAAGAAACTAAATTTAGATGTTTTCTTACGATTGTTGAGCTCTGATCAAGGCCAATGACCAACTCCAATTGGTCTTTAAGCTTGTCTGAGACATCCCATGGAAGTTAAGATGAAGTAGCTCCTTGTTAGGTAGCATTTATGTGGTTGCTAAGTGTGTCTTGAACTATTGCTTGTTTGGGTTGTAAAGTTTGCTCAGAACTAGGCAACAAGAAATCCTATACCTTATTCTTCTTATATAATTATTGAAATAATATGAAATGAAGTATCCAACTTTGTACTCATTGCCTCAAGGTGAATTATAGAGCATGAGATAGCTGTGTTGTCTTATTAACTTATTACCTATAGGTTCACATATTTTATGTTATAAAGCTGAAAGATTTATCCCCAAATCAAGAAATCTGTTCTAGTCAATGTTAGCAAAAAGAGAGAACTGTTTTATGCATACTAGTCGATTTTTTGGCATTAAAAAGCAAGAAATAACTTTGGCTTATATCACCATTGTGAATGACATGGTTGAATTATATCTCCATGTTAAGTTACTATGAAACTTAACATTGCCCATGGAAAAAAGTGATTAGCTTAGAAAATCATCTTCTCAAATAATTAAATGTGCAACAGTGCAAGTATGGAACTAATGCAGATGCGAGCTGAAGCGAATGTCTATCCTCTTCTCAATGATTTAGTGTCTAGCTTTGGCTTTGTTCTGGATTATACGAGCTAAAAAATAGTTGGACTTCTAGTTTGGGATAGAGGGAATATCTAGTTGGCATTGATTTGAAGAATTGAACTTGAATTCAGTTTACAAACTTTTCAAGAAGTGTTTGTTTTAGCTGCTTTTGCCAAATGAAAGTTGACTACTTTGGGAAATAATTTCAGACTCTATTTTTCAAATCTTTCAACTCAGAATTGACTTCTTGAAATTTTTTTTGAACAATAGAGTATCAGAGTCTTTGAACAATTTGAAAACCATAGTTTCAAATTCGTTAGAGCGCTTCTTTTTTTTTTGTTTTGGCAAAATCAGTTCAACCCCACACTTCTTGAAAGAATTTATATTCGATCTGAGTTATTCAATTTTTTCAAACAAACACTGAACAGCCTTACATGCAGATTTTTTCTGAAATCTTTCTCTACCCCTCGCTCGCAAAAAAAAGTTCATTATGAAATGTGAAATCTATATTCAATTCTTTTTGTTGTGTGAAAAGTATGAAATTGAAAGTTGATGGATTTTGTTCTTTACTTTGTATAATTCTTTATTCTGACCCTTCTTCACATAATCACTTTCAGGGATGATTGTTACATCAGCACTTATAATATGGAAAGCGTTGATGTGTGTAAC